AAAAGACTGGACATACCCCATTTTTTTTTTTTTTTAAATAATATTTTTTATTTAATATTTCATATATTGCACAAAAACATCACAAAACATTATAGGCTTATACATCATAGCATGCAATAATACATTTAGATATTCTTATTCATATTCAATTTCTTTAATCAGTAAAGCATCTAAATATATAAGCATAGCCTACAACAAGGACATTAACTCACTTAGACATAAAACAAACACCAGTTTAAAAAAACAAAATACAGATCAGGAGTTATTTATTATATTTATCGAATAGTGTTATCTGTTGTACTTTTTGCAAGGTAAACCAATAGAATCATACTTTCAAATTATTTCAAACCATCGATATAAAAATCTCTTGTTTTTATATTGCTGTGTATTTAAGTTAGCCAATTCTTTTTCCATATGAAATTGCAATTTCAGTTGATATAAATACTGATGTTTTTGGAGTGGCATCTTAGATTTCCGATTTCTGGCAATCATAATTTTTATTTACAGTGAATAGCTAAACATCTGTTTTCCCTAAGAAGTACATCAAGATTCAAATAACATACCCAATTTTGAATACCGTGGGTTGTCTACTTTTTTAAATGGTATGTCATGATGGGGTTCATTTTCATTTCTGGGCTGCCATACCGTCTCAAAGGCAACATGGCCAATCTGGCAAATTGCAATTTACAAAAACAGAAATTGGCAGATCTTATGTTTGCCCCTGTAACTTTGTAAATCACCAAACAACCTGTACTTCAGGGATACTGTTATACTCATGAGACATTACTCTACACAAATATGAGTGTTTTAGAGAAGTAAAATTTATTATACTGATAATATCACTGGTGAAATGGCAGTTTATGTGCAAAAAAACTAATATAAGCGCTAATTTTGGCAAGGGTTTGTGACTAAGTGACTACTAAAAAAGAGTGGACATACCACATTTTGAATACCGTGGGTTGTCTACTTTTACAAATGGTATGCCATGATGGGGTTTGAGATACGATCTCAAAGGCAACATAGGCCCAGCAAACCAATCTGGCAAATTTCAATGTGCAAACATGGAAAAGGGGAAAGGCCTACATCTGACCCCTGTAAGTTTGCAAAAACCCATAAAACCTGTACATTGGGGGCACTGTTGTACTCGGGAGATGTTGCTGTACACATATTGGGGTGTTCTTTGTCAGTAACACATAACAGGAACTGAGAATCCATGCCTAAAGTACATTGTGAGAGAAAAATAATACAAAAAAATGACTACCCAAACGTTTGACAAAAATGAGTGTCAAAATACCACCATTTGAAATACCCTAGGGTCTCTACTTTTTAAAAAATATGTGGTTTGATGGGGGTAAATTACATTGGCCGGCTTCAAATATGTCTCAAATAGGACATGGGTGCATGATGATCAGCTATGAAAACTCCAAGTTGGAAAACTGGAATGCGTACCGTCCAAATAAGGTCTTTTAGCCCAAAGAGAACAAAAACACATCTATACAGGGACATATTAGCCGCGAGGCAAACAAGGCATTTGCCTTGGGCGGCATTTTCCATGGGCGGCAAAAAAGCTGCCCCCAAATGCCCAGGGCAAATGTCTTGTCAGCCTTACGGCTAACTGACAAGCTAGGTGGGTGGTCGGTCAGGCAGGCGGCGCTGGCGAGGGAGCACTTTCCCCTGAGCACTCTGCTCAGCTCCCTCACGAGCCGCAGAGGGATGCCGGTCACCTGGAGCCGGAATATGACGTCATATTCTGGGTCCCGGCATCACTCTGCGGCGCGCGAGGGAGCTGAGCAGAGCGCTCAGGGGAAAGTGCTCCCTCGCCAGCGCCGCCCGACCGACCACCCAGCAGCCCCACTAGACCCCAGGGTAAGGAGGCTGGGGGGGGTTTAAATTAAAAAAAAGTGACTGTGTTAATGTGAGTGAGTGTGCCTAGGGCATACAAAACCAGGATACACCACTGCACCTATACATGGGTGGTATCCCTGTACTCAGGAGATGATGCTGAACACATATTGGGGTGTTCTTTGGCAGTAACCCTTAAAATTCTTAAATTGCTATGTGTGTCAAAAAAATCACCAATTTTCTTTTCTTTTTTTAAATTTGGCATAGATTGGTGGTAAAATGGTTGCAAGAAAAGAGTCAAAATATCCCAAGTTTAATACCTCAGGTTGTCTTCTTTTAATAAATATATACATTTGAAGGGTTATTCATGGATTCCTGACAGATAAAAAAAATGGATTGGAAATAGCAAAGTGCTACTTGTACTTATTGCCCTATAACTTTCCAAAAAAGCTAAGAACATGTTAACATTGGGTATTTCTAAACTTTAGAAACTATTTAGTTTGTTTTTTGGCGGTTGTAGATGCAGAACAGATTTTGGGGGTCAAAGTTAGAAAAAGTGTTTTTTTAATTTTTTCATTATATTTTATAGTTTGTTTTCTAGTAAATTATATGATATGATGAACATAATGGTATCTTTAGAAACACCATTTAATGGCGATAAACATATTATATAATATGTGTGGGTACAGTAAATGAGTAAGAGGAAACACTGCAGAAATGTAAAAAGAGCCCTAGTCCCAAATGGTAAGAAAATTGAAAAACGGTCTGGTCATTAAGGGGTTAAATATACATAGGGATTTGGGCTAGTGCGCAGGTAACTTTTTTCCTTTGGTTTTTATTGATTGTTTGTTATAATTTGTTATTTTTTTCTTATGGTGAATCCTCATGTATTTGACCTTTTTTTTGTCTACAATTACCTCCTCGTAGTTATGCATTTCAATATATGTTTCTTTAGCACCATTATAAAATGCATTCACTCCACAGTATGAGCTGTGATTTGATTACATTTAGTATTTTAAAATGAGATTAGTTTGTCTCTTAGGAACTGTATTAATGAAAATGAAGCCATGATATGGCTACGGTTTCCCAGACAAGTATATATTCATTTATTTTATCTCTGAATTTTTTGAGATTTTCTGATCTAGAAAAAACGTGTGTCTCTCTGTCTTTTGGTCAGCTTGTCTGTCTGTCATAAACAAACAATGGGATGTCCAACCACATTAATGCTTTGTGCATTAAAGGACCACTATAGTGCCATAAAAACATACTTGTTTTCCTGGCACTATAGTGCCCTGAGGGTGCCCCCACCCTCAGGGTCCCCCTCCCACCGGGCTCTGGGGAGAGGAAAGGGTTAAATCTTACCTTTTTTCCAGTGCCGGGCGGGGAGCTCTCCTCCTCCTCTCCATCTCCATCTCCTCTCCTCCTCCTCGGCTGAATGCGCATGCGCGGCAGGAGCTGCGCGCGCATTCAGCCAGTCTCATAGGAAAGCATTTATAATGCTTTCCTATGGACGCTGGCGTCTTCTCACTGTGATTTTCACAGTGAGAAGCACGCAAACGCCTCTAGCGGCTGTCAATGAGACAGCCACTAGAGGCTTTAGAGGCTGGATTAACCCTAATATAAACATAGCAGTTTCTATGTTTATAAAAAAAAGGGTTAATCCTAGAGGGACCTGGCACCCAGACCACTTCATTAAGCTGAAGTGGTCTGGGTGCCTAGAGTGGTCCTTTAAATGGCAGTGTCAAAAAAAAGTTAGCAATGTTCTAGAATGCCTTAATCATGCATATTGTGGGCCCCAGGTTGACGTAGGCTTTATAAGCACCTGCCATATCAAGCAGGAAGAATTTCCAATGAGAAGAGACACGTGGCTAGTGAGCATAATGTAAGATTACCTCGTCTGTCACTAAACAGTTAATTGAAGTTTTGAGACAGCCAAAACATTTTACATAAAGAGACAACCATAATTAAATACAGGCTCATAACTCAATTATTGCAATTGTATATATCAACACTAGGTGGCAGTGTTGAATTTATGTTGAAGCTTGTGGTTGCGGATTGCACAGTATATTAGGGGTGATGTATGCTCACACGTGCATTTGGTAAGGGGAATTTTAAATCATACCATTGAGCAATAACTATACAGCACTAAATTTGCTGCAATATTCCCAGTATTTCCAAGTGTTTAGCAGTAGACTTTAAATTAATTTATGACTCTACTTTTACTGAAATTGCAACAGTTTTATAAGGATATACAGTAGATGTGTATGCACATCAGACATCATTAGTAATAAGCAGTGCAACATTTCTAAAGCATATTTTCAAAACATGACCATCGAAATCTGTGAATTTTTGTATTGTCGAAATTAATGTACAAATACATTTTATCATATCATATGCATAGAAAAAAAAAGCTGAATTGGGAATCCACATTTACAATTTGCACCTTAATGGAACAGCACACACACATTAAATACTCAGTTTCATAACTTGCAAGCATAATTAAAACTTGTTTTTAAAAAAAATAAATATATATATAGGGATTTAGTTACACCATATGGCGTATTAATTCCGGCTACTGCATCAAAATACCCCAAACTTCTCCATGAGGCTATCCTTAAATGTATGTTTATTGTATTTACAACTAATGGGGCACCTAATGGTATCGAGATGGGGGCTTATTGCCCCCCCTAACACAATCTGGTCCAAACTCCAGATGTCCGAAAAAAAAAAAAAAGATGAAAGTGGCCTCTAATATATTTGTCTTTTTTGAAACTTTACAGTTTTGTATGTGTGTGCTAATTCCTTAATGTATGTTTAGCATTCATACATAACACATTTTAAAAAAAATGATTTCCTATAATGTATTCCTTGACCTCGACTTGCTTTATCGTCCTATTGACTCTCTGTTATCTTTGACCTCAGCCTATTTATGACTTTGCTTCCTATCATGCAGGTGTGTTCTCACCCTCCCAAGACTTACTTTAAAGGACCACTATAGTGCCAGGAAAACATACTCGTTTTCCTGGAACTATAGTGCCCTGAGGGTGCCCCCACCCTCAGGGTCCCCCTCCCGCCCGGCTCTGGAAGGGGGAAAGGGTTAAAAACTTACCTTTTTCCAGCGCTGGGCGGGGAGCTCTCTGCTTCCTCTCCTCCTCCGTTCCTCCTCCTGGGCTGAATGCGCACGCGCAGCAAGAGCTGCGCGCGCATTCAGCCCGTCGCATAGGAAAGCATTTACAATGCTTTCCTATGGACGCTTGCGTGCTCTCACTGTGAAAATCACAGTGAGGAGCACGCAAGCGCCTCTAGTGGCTGTCAATGAGACAGCCACTAGAGGATTAGGGGGAAGGCTTAACCCATTCATAAACATAGCAGTTTCTCTGAAACTGCTATGTTTATAAAAAAATGGGTTAACCCTAGAAGGACCTGGCACCCAGACCACTTCATTAAGCTGAAGTTGTCTGGGTGCCTAGAGTGGTCCTTTAAGCTCAGTCATTCTACGGACTTGTAATTCGTACCTATCCCATGAGTCTCTATCTTGAGTCTAGACTGTTGCTTATTTGTTCAACATAATAATTGTGTTAGGGTCATCCTGGTGCCATTGGCCTGTTTGACACCATCCATGTGTCCATGTTGAGATGGGGTATTATATATATATATATATATATATATATATAATAGTTGGTAATGATAGTACTCCAATGACTTTTTAAGGGTGAAAAAAATAAAACAACTTTTATTCAGGTTATTTGCCAATAAAACTAATCGACGTTTCAGTTCAATATATGAATTCTCATCAGGACAAGAAAAGAAAAGCGTGTATACAATGTTTAAATAGTGACACAGTGATTATCAAACACACTATTTAGCTGATACATCAGCTAAAGATTAAGGCTGAGAGAAAGGGGGAAAAAGGAGATACAGATTACTAGATCCTATATCGGTGAGAATCTAATGTGCCTTCGTGGGCACCCTTTAAACAAAGCCTGCTCTGACAGTCAAGCCACCCACTGCTATTTCAAATGTGGAAATCAAGGTAACGATATGGTAACGAGGACTGAGCATTTAGTCTAGGAAAGTAGCAGTGAGTCTCTGAAAATAATGAATAAGCAACTAAATATGCTATTCTGTAAACACAGACACATCGAACAGAGATTGAGGTTAAGAGAAAGGGGGAAAAAGGAGGTGCAGATTAACTAAATCCTATATCGGTGAGAATCTAATGTGCCTTCGTGGGCACCCCTTAAGCAAATCCTGCTCTAACATTGAAACCACCCGCTGTTGTTTCAAAGTAACAATATGGTAACGGGGACTAAGCATCAAGTCACAGAATGCCTATATACGGAATGAGAGTTCTGTCGTTGTTGGTAGGCGTTGCTTTAGGGGTATGCGTTTTGGATCAAGGAATATAGGCATGAGACCCCATGTACCAGGGGGCCAGGCTCTAAACATGTCTGCCCATAGGAAGTAAGGTCTCGTAAAAGTGGTTGTGTCAGGGACAGCTTACGGAGATAGTCTTGTATTTGTCTATACCGAAAGATCTGAATAAATGAGCATCTCTATCAGGCAGGCAGGTTGCAGTACGAATTTTATAGAATCTCGATATTGGGTGGAGATCCAGTGTGTGTAGAGCCCCAGGGTCCAGGGTTTTTAACAACAACAAAATAAGTATAATAGATCCTTTTACTTTTCTCTTTAATATGATAGGACATTTCAATATATTTCTTGATAGAAAAAAGTAAGCTAAATACACTTGTTACTTGATATTAGAAAATCCATACACTTGCTAAATAATAGAATTGTAGGTATAAGCAAAATACATTTTAAAGGGTAGTGCTCTATATGTGTTTCTCACATTAATAATGAGAGGTTCTGTATTTACCAAGTGCTGATTTATGGCTGAAAATCATGCTCGCAGTAAACAGATTGAAAACAAGAAAGCTTACTAAGAAGCTTCGTAAAGAAAGCGAATCAATATGTTACAGAGGAAGAGGGGATGTCATGCATCAAGAATATAATCAGTAAAAATGACAGTAACTTTTAGCCTTTGTCATGTTATGAATTTACTATGGATTCACCGAGTACATGAGTAATAAATTACTCAACTATTACATAGATTTTGGGATTTGTAGACGTGAATGAATCACGGGAAGGATACAGTGGGATTTAGCTGTCCTAATACCTTATTTTGTATAATGTCAGCCACATAATCTAGGAACCACGTTGTATTCCTATAAGCTCCTGTGAGATCAGAATTTTGCAGCCTAGCCTAGCACACATTGTTCAATATCCAAAATGAAAAATTCATTCATAAACAAATACTCCCTGCAAAAAAAAATATATACCCACCATTTGAAAATTTCAAAGGTAAGATTTATGGTGAAGACATTTGTGAAAAAATGGGCAACATTGAAACTGTTTTGTCATTCCGAAATTATCCACTCAAAGCACTTACTGCTTCGGTTATTCTGACTACAGTCACATGATCTGTTATATCATGGAATATATTGATATTCACCAGATATAAATGGAATTAATGTCTGCAGTCAATCATGTTTAACAGTAAAAGTTACTATTAATTTAGAAGCAGTCTAGTGCATCAGGTTTTTCTTAATATTATTATATATTATATTAAACTGAGCACTTTACTTTTTCTTTGGCATTACTATAAAACAAAATCTAGCCGTGTACACAGTATTATTTTATGAACCCATTTGCTTTCTTTTACAACATATCCATTCTCCATTGCCGTCTACTATCATTAGGAGGGATATTAGGAAAAAAGCAAAGGGTTTGCACACTGTGCTAATGTCATGGTGGATATATAGCTTCACCAGTGTAGACCAGTGTAGTATAATGTGTTTTTATTCTTATATTTAGTACATATCACACCCATAGTACAGCACTGTGGTATATGTTGATATATATATATACTGAAGAAAATTATAAATGCAACATTTTTGTTTTTGCCCCAATTTTTCATGAGCTGAACTCAAAGAAGTATTACTTTTTCTATGAAGGCCTTTTGTGTGCATAGAAAAAGTAATAAATCTTTCAGCTCATGAAAAATGGGGGCAACAACAAAAGTGTTGTGTTTATCATTTTATTCACTGTATATACATGTGTGTGTGCATTTAATGGACAAGACTGAAGATACCACCATGGAAGGGGGGAGGGTGAGGAGAGATACCACCATAGGAGGCGGGTGGGAGGGTGAGGAGAGCTACCACCATGGGAGGAGGGGTGAGGAGAGATACCACCATGGGAGTGGTGGTAAGGAGAGATACCACCATGGGAGGAGGGGGGAGGGTGAGGAGAAAAATACCACCATGGGAGGGGGGATGAGGAGAGATACCACCATGGGAGGGGGCGAGTGTGAGGAGAGATGTACCACTCATGGAGGGGGGGAGGTGAGGAGAGATACCACCATGGGATGGGGAGTGGAGGGAGAGATACCACCCATGGGAGAGAGGGGAGAAAGTGTGGAGGGAGAGATACCACCCATGGGAGGGGGGGGGAGTGTGGAGGAGAGATACAAACAAATGGGAGGTGGGGGGGAGGTGGAGGAGAGATACTCACCAGGGGAGGGGGAGGTGGAGGAGAGATACCCACCATGGAGGGAGGAAGTGTGGAGAGAGATACCACCATGGAGGGGGGGTGAGGAGAGATACCATCATGGGAGGCGGGTGGGAGGGTGAGGAGAGATACCACCATGGGAGTGGGGGTAGGGTGAGGAGAGATACTGGAAGTTTTGGGTGAGGAGAGATACCACCATGGGAGGGGGGAAGTGTGAGGAGAGATACAACAATGGGAGGTGGGGGAGTGTGAGGAGAGATACCACCAGAGGAGGGGGGGAGTGTGAGGAGAGATACCACCATGGGAGGGGGGAAGTGTGAGGAGAGATACAACAATGGGAGGTGGGGGAGTGTGAGGAGAGATACCACCAGAGGAGGGGGGGAGTGTGAGGAGAGATACCACCATGGGAGGGGGGAAGTGTGAGGAGAGATACCAATGGGAGGGGGGGTGAGGAGAGATACCACCATGGGGGTAGGGTGAGGAGAGATACTGGAAGTTTTGGGTGAGGAGAGATACCACCATGGGAGGGGGGGAGGGTGAGGAGAGATACCACCATGGGAGGGGGGTAGGGTGAGGAGAGTACACTAAGGAGGCAGGGGAGGGAAGACCACTAAGGGGCAGGAAGGGAGAGCAGTAAGGGACAAGCAGGGAGAGAGGTTGAGGAAGGGGGGAAAGAGAAGCACAAAGGGACTGGTATGACTCAGCCCCTATCCTACCCCACAAACTCTCTCTTTCACACTGCACACACAGAAACACACCATGCTTCCCTTACACACAGAGAAACATACACTGCATCCACTACACACACACAATGCAACCCTTACACACAAAGACAATGCATCCCTTGCACGCATACACCGAAACACAAAATGCATCCCTTACACACACTCAATGCACCCCTTACAGACACAAACTGCATCACTTACATACACAGAAACACATCTTGCATCCCTTACACATACAAACACAGATTCACACAATGCATTCCTTAAATCCTTAACACCGGAGGACGTACTATTACGCCCTATTTTAGGCGGCTCTAAACACTGCCGGGCGTAATAGTATGCCCTCCGTTTTTTTTTTTACTTACCCGGTCGCCGGCGATCCCACGCCGGCGATCGCGGTTGGGGGGACACCCAGGGAGCCCCCCGCGGCAGATCGTCCCTCTTGCAGCCCCCCCCGGCCATGTGAGAGTGAGGTCCTTGCCAGGACCTCACAATCACATGGCTGGGTTAGCTGCCTGCTGCATTGCCAGCAGGGGGATTGCCTGTAATAACAGGTAGTCCCCCTGCTGGCTGGAAATGAAATAAAATTAAGTTAAAAAGTGTAAAAAAAAAAATTATATACTTAGATCATATATATATATATATATATTATATATATATATATGATCTAAGTATATATATATATACACATACACATACACACACATATACTGTCTAGGTGTATTTTAGACCGTAGACTGATATTGATTAAATATATATATATATATATATATATATATATATATAAAATTAAATATATATATATATATATAATTATTGTTATATATATATATTTATATCTAATATAAAAAATTAAATATGTAAATACGTTAAAAAATAAAGTTAAAAAAATAATTAAAAATAAATAATAAAAAAAATATAGATGTGTGTTATTTCGTTCTAACTGTATTGTGATATTAATATATATATATTTATATCAAAAATACACATAGAACAAAATAATATATATCTATATACATAAATATATACGTATATATCACTATATATATACCTATATATAAATACAAATATTTGTAAAAAATTATATACATATATACATATATATATACACATACGTATATATATACATATGTTAATTCTACATATATATTTATGTAATATTTTTACATAATTAGGTATCTTAATTAATTACAATTAGCGGGACCTGCCTGACAACCCATGCCAAAAGTAAAGGGAATTTAATTTGCTAGCACTATATTTAACCCTATAACTTTCCAAGACACCATAAAACCTGTACATGGGGGGGTACTGTTCTACTCGGGAGACTTCGCTGAACACAAATATTAGTGTTTCAAAACATTAAAATGTATTACATCGATGATATCGCCAGTAAAAGTCAAATTTTTTGCATTTTTCACGCACAAACAGCACTTACACGGACGATGTTATTGCTGCGATACTTTTTACTGCTTTGAAACACAAATATTTGTGTTCAGCGAAGTCTCCCGAATACAACAGTACCCCTCATGTACAGGTTTTATGGTGTTTTCAAAAGTTACAGAGTCAAATATAAGGCTTGTGTTTCATTTTTTTCACATTAAAATTCGCCAGATTGGTTAGGTTGCCTTTGAGACCCTATGGTAGCCCAAGAATGAAAATTACCCCTATGATGGCATGCCATTTGCAATAGTAGACAACCCAAGGTATTGCAAACAGGGTATGTCCAGTCTTTTTTAGTAGCCTCTTAGTCACAAACACTGGACAAAATTGGCGTTTTTTGCATTTTTCACACACAAACAAATACTAACACTAGCTTTGACCAGTGTTTGTGACCAAATGGCTACTAAAAAAGACTGGACATACCCCATTTGCAATACCTTAGGCTGTCTACTATTGCAAATGGTATGCCATTATGGGTGTAAATTTCATTCCTGGGCTACTATAAAGTCCCAAAGGCAACGTAACCAATCTGGTGAATTTCAATTTCAAATGTAACGTGCTATATTTGACCCTGTAACTTCCCAAAACGCCATAAAACCTGTACATAGGGGGTACTGTTTTACACGTGAGACTTTGCTGAATACAAATATGTGTATTTTATTGCAGTATAAGAAAACAGTATTATGACATTGACAGTTAAAATGTCATGTAGAACTAAAGAAAATAAAAAAAAAATCTTATTTTCTCCCATTTTTTCATATTAAATTATGTTTCATAGCTAAATATTTGCTATTAAATGAAAGCCCTGTTTCCCCTGAATAAAATGATATATAATAAGGGTGGGTTCATTTAATATGAAGGAGGTGAATTACGGTTGGACAGACATGTAGCGCAAATGCCAGGTTTTGTTTACATTTTGTTTCGTTCACAACGTGTACATTTGGCTCAGTCACATCCAGAAACACACAATACATCCCTTACACACAAACACACACTGCTTTCTATCCCTTACACAAAATCACACTACATCCACTACACACACACACACACACACACACACTGCATCACCTACACAAACAGGTATCCCTATACACTACATTCCATAAGCACACGCATTAGATCCTCTACAGTAACACGTAACACATCCCCTACACACTCCACTCCCTGTGAGCGAACTCATGGGTGGAACATGTAGGTAGACTCATGGGTGGAGCTGCTTCACGTTCCCCCAGAACATTTACTTTTGTGACCACAGTTACAAACAGCCTTCAGAGTTCTACACCAGACGAGTGGAGCCAAACTGCAGCCAGAGCCCATCACCATCCTCATCTGGTTGTAAGTAGGCAATCTAGTATCTTGTTAGTGACACTAATCTCTAATTTACCTCACATTAAAGGGACACGATAGTCCCCAGAACCACTGCAGCTTAATGAAGTGGTTCTGGTGTCTATAGCCTGTCCCTGCAGGCTTTTTAATGTAAACACACACTGTGGGCAGCACTGGCGTTAGTTCATATGGCAGATCATATTGGTGGGGCATTGTGATGTCACATCGGGGGAGCGGCAAATTTTTATTTTTCCTATGGCGGCAAAAATCCTTGCACTGGCCCTGAGTACATTATTACACATCATCCATTTTCATGGTATTCATTCAGTCACCAGATCAAACCAGTCGGACCTCTTGCCTGCCTAGTTAAACAAACTGCAAGTTTCTAGCAGGTTTCACAGTTGGATACATTATTCATTTGCAGGGTCTTTAATACAGTAACAGTAACCAGCTCAAACCAGTTTAGCTCATTGCCAACTTGGTTACACATTCCAAGCAAACTGGAAGTTTCTTCTTAGGTTCCACAGTTGGACCAGGGGCGTACCTAGAGCATTTGGCACCGGGGGTGGATCCTGTTTTGGCACCTCCCTCCGCCTTTCAAATGTAAAAAACACACCCACTGTTTTATTTTATGTTTTCTATTTTTTTTTTCTGTTTAAATTGTCTTCCAGTCCCCTTCTACAAAACACCCTCTTCTTCAAAATCCCCCGTTTTTTTTTTATAAAATCCCTGCACCCTCTAAAAAAAAACCCTGCAAACCCTCCTTTACAAAAACCCCTGCCCTGTCCCCTTTCTACAAACCCCCTCCTTCTACAAAGCCCCTGCCCAGTCTCCCTTTTACAAATCTTCTTCCTCCCTCTACAAAAACCCTGTAGGCCCCTCTACAAAAAACCCTGCACCCCTCCTCTACAAAAACCCTGCACCCCTCCTCTACAAAAACCATGCAACCCCTCCTCTACAAAAACCCCTGCCCAGCCCCCTTTCTACAAATCCCCTGCCCGGTCATCCTTCTACAACCCC